AAGAAAAAAAAACGCTCACTTAACGCAAGGGACGGGGCAAGCGCTCATGCATTAGCCGCTGTGTAGTGGCCATTTTCTTATCATTCTATAGAACTGTTTCTCGCACTTCTCTCTGAGCTACAGTGCACTAGCTCAGAGCGAACGTCCGCAAACTGGATTCCTATCAAAACACCAAAATTTAAGAGGCCGAATTATGAAGTGACCGAACGTGAAGAGCGCCGAAAAATTGAAATGCCGAAAAATCGAAATGTCGGATAGACATAATGCCGTAAATCACTTGATACATGCCGAAAACCAGGCGAAGTTTTGTTTACTCGGAGTGTATAATTGACGAGGAGGTGTGATGAACCCCCAGAATGAGAAAAAGCGACCTTATCTGCAAAAACGGTTATGTTTATGTGTTTGACAAGAAAGTAAGTTCTAGACATCAGTTAAGGTGTGAGAAGCAAGAAGAATGCAACGCCAGAGTTACTTACCGACTTTTCTGTAGAATACAGCTATCGTAATCTAGAAGATCCGCGCATCCCATGCTCTTTCGGATCATCGCCTCCTTGAAGAGAGACCAAACTATAGACTCGAAGACAACGTCGAGGGAGCGGTTAGAGACCAACACTTCCGCTCAGAGAGAAAGAGCCAAGGGTTACGCAAAAATCATTTGACAGCTTCTTTGGGCAACCGGTACGATGTCCACGCCCTTGACAAGGATTGGGACACAACTTATTTGTCTCAAATGCAACACTACGAAGCGTGATATTTTGATGTGCTTGGTTTAAACCCACAAATACTGTGAGCAATACTAGGCGCAGGAGACACCTGAGTGTTGGATAAGCTTCACGTTCGTAGTAGATAATTTTGTTGATAATGCGCGCAGGAAGCGAACACTCAAGATTATTCCAGATCTTGCGCGACCGCTATCGATAAGGCTCGTAAGGTCGATGGCGTGGTGTATAATAGACGGCGCATCCCAACAATGACCATTTTATCGACGATCGACGCACATTGCACACGCCAATATTATTGTACAGCGAGCATTGTTTGGTGTAATTTGACCTTCCATTACGCGGCCACAAGTTTGGCCAAATAAAGAGTTTGACCTTGAAGCTGCTGCCTTCGTCACCGTCATGACGTGCACGTTACAATACACAAGGAATCGTTCTGCTCTGCGGTGAGATATACCGTAATATATATTTTTCTTTTCTTTTTTGAAGGTTGCCAAAAACCATATGCGAAAGGAACATGGCTGTTGGAAAAAGAGGACAAAAGCATGTACTCATCGTATACAAGGCCGCCAGAACCTTTACCTTGGCAAGACTTTATCGTCATGGTGATGCAGAAATTTTGACTTTCCGGCATTCCGATGTTTCAATGTTTTGATTTTTCGCCATTTCCAATTTTCGTTTTTTTTAAATTTTGGTGTTTTAAATTTCGGCGTTCCGATAATTTGGTATTTTGATTTTCGGCATTTTGAATGCCACACCCCCCAAACACACACACGCGCACGTACATACACATATTCCCTTTCCATCTTCGCCCCTCATGTTTGAACTCAAGCATAATCAAGTTTAATATAGCGAATTCTCTAATAAAATAGCAAGGTTTCTGCGATACTTCTCTGAATTCAAAAAAAGCCTTTGCACAAAGCCTTTAATCTCCTGCAACCTACTCCTTTCGAAAAGTTAATTAGAGCGCGAAAACTTGACACGATTAAGTGAACACGCCCAAAAATTAACAAAAAGAGATGACAAGTATGCGCACCTGGTTGCGCATGTCATCTCGTGTGGTTGAGACGCTTGATTTTCTGAAACGAAGATTCTGGGCAGAAGCGCAAGTAAAACTGCACGTGAAGTGTTAGAAGCCTTTTTCATTGAAAAAAATAAAGATCACTGTGTAAGCGCCCCTTCAATTTCGTTGTTACCAAGCGAACTTCAGTTTATGACATTGATTAACTAAGGCTATGACATTGATTAACTGTACGTTTTTGATAATGTATGCTGTTGGCCTTCTTTGGTGTGTGTGCGCACAATGCGTCCTGTATATATTCAAGCCTTCGAGCTATGAATAAATCAGTTGGAAGTGAGCGCTGTGTGTTTGATGCATGGGTGCATGCGTGTGTGAGTGATCGTGTCAAGTTTTCGCGCTCTAATTAACTTTTCGAAATGATCTACCAACTAGCCCAACAACAAGTTCTCTTAGACTACTCCTTACGGTCATCATCGTGTCAAAGGTCGCAGGAAAAAGCGCACGTGGTGACAAGAGGTCATTTATACGTGTCGGCGCTTTAAATAGCCGGTGTAGCCCTCTTGTGTAGGTAATTGATGCGAACCTTAAGAAGGGGTCTCGCAACGTTGTCGACTTGTTTAATCGCGCACATGGCGGCCTCGGGTCAAAAGACATCTCCTTTGATGGTGTCCACAGAAGGTCGTTGATAGGGAGGCCTCGGGTCAAGTGGTCTGATAGGCGCAAGACTAAGAAAAAAAAAACATAGGGAAGAGAAACAGATGAAGACCTTTCTTTGTACCTCACCGAAATTCACGTATATAGAGTGTTTTCGGCTGACGCACGATAATAAAGTTGAACTGTTCCAACTTTAGAGGAAACTTAACGAAGCCTTTACGTGGAGGAACTGCGTGGCTTCAAAATTATGTTGCATTCGTGATGTCAAAAAATAAGGAATTATATGCTTCGCAATAATGGAGCCAAGCTTGACGGAAGAGCGCAGCTGGTTTGCCTTCTTTGCCTTTCTTTTTTAATCTCTCTCAGTAGCTTGCATCTTTTTTGTATTTTTATTTCTACTTAATAATTTTTCCCTTCACATTTATTTATTTGTTCCTTTTTATTCTCTCTCTCTTTGTTCGTCTTTTTTTTTTTTGCAGCGAGCTTTTTCTTTTCAAGTTTCTTTTTTTCTTTCTGTATACTTGTCTTACCATTTCTATCTCTATCTGTTCTTTTTTTCGCTTTCTCTTCATTTTTCTCATTCTTCTTCACTCTGACAAGCTCGATCTGTTTTCTTTTTATATCTTTTTTTATGTTTTCTGTCTTTCTATCTTTATTCTTCTGACGCTTTCGCTCTGTCTTCATTTTTTTCTTACCTTCTCGCGTGTTCACTTTCGTTTTTCAACCGCTCATGCTGTACACGGTAGTGGGGCTTGCCCAATTCCTGTGGCGAAGTTTTGCACGACGGAGCACAAGTAAGCAATAACTTAAACAGCTTCACTGTAAAGAATATAGAGAGCGTGCGTTCCGGACCGTGATAATTTTTTACGACGGCGCACAAGTTACTGACACGTTAAAGGGGCCTGCAATACTTTCTATGCAATTAATCACTGGAAGGCTTATTTAAAGGAGTCAATGCCTCTTTTACGAGATGCCCGCCGCGTCGCTCGCTTTTCCATTGCGGCGGCGGTTCCTTCAGTTCGTGCAGTTCGGCAGAAATCTGTGAGGCGGCGCTCGTTGCCTTACCCACTTTCGGCGGCAGCGGAAATGCGGGGCGTCTGCCAGCATGATCCTGCTCAGTGATGCTGCTAGCAACTAGATATTTAGTTCACTATATCTGAGACGGTTACAAGTGCGATGGCATTCTCAGAGGTAGCATCACGTGACCTGCGTTGCAGTCCACGGGGTGCTCGTTGCCTTTTTGCGCTGAAGAGGAGAGGGCTGTGAAACCGGACTTGCGGACCCATGCGGCGGGCATCTCGTAAAGGAGGCATTGAACGTGGCATTGAGGGAGTTTATTGCCTCACGATTCGACCACCGCAAAAGCTTTAAAATCCGTCAAGTACAAGCGAAGTCACAGATTTGTCGCGAGCTGGACGCTCTCTCATTTCGCCCTATTCTTCCCCGATGGTCGTCTAATATTCTTGTAACATGCACCAACTAGCCCTTCCTCCGTGAACTAGCCCAACAAGTTTTACTAAAGCTACGTCACGCAGGTGTCATGACCTTGAGCACTTTTTTTTTCTTCGAACAAGTGGTTTACCTTTACTGTGGAGGAGGAGGAATAAATTTTATTATTCAGAAAGGGGAGGAGAAATGGTCGTCCAGCTTTGTTTCCAGTTTCCCCTCCCTTTTACCTAAGTGTGATAGCGAGCGCTTGGGCACGTGGCGGCCTCCTGCGGTGGTCGCGTTAACTATGCAGTCACGACGTTCAATCAGCCGAGGACCATAAAATTCAAGCATCTGGCGCAGTCACTTTTGTGACCGCGCCATATTATCTTTTGTAGAAATAAGAGGGAATAATTTTTAGAAAACTGAAAATTTCGCGAATTCCAGGCCGCATGCTGTGCTGCTTGGCTCGCGCGTTCTAAGGAGCTTCGACTAGCGATTGACAGTGTTTTCTGACCATGCTTAAGAAGTGCTGCAGGGCCCCTTCCAACAGCTTCACTTTTACTAAAATTATCAAGAAATAAGTTTATTAATATAATGTGTAGCTGGTTACTTTCGAGTCTACTGAATATGAAATGGTAGCTATATATGCCAGGTGTCCCGACTATCATTCACTGAGATGCCGGAAAGGCGGGACTATGTTAAGCGGAGAAATCCAAGAGTATATTGTTCCCAACAAAGCAGAACAGCCACTAGTAATTTTCTGTCAATGATGCTTAACTGGTTGATGACATAAATTGTCTAAGTGGAAAATTACTGAAACACAAAACTGACAAGATGCCAATCATGCATCTATAGGCAAAATGTAATGGGTCTTTAAGCAGTGCACTAACTGCATGCAAACTTTTTCCGGCTACAGGACTGCATGTAATACTACCACGCAACGACATTTACAGCAAATGCTACAGCAGCAGTACTTCATTTTTCTCTTACAATTGACAAACCAGCCTTGTCATCCGTGCAGAGCCATATAGCACCTTGCTTTGCCTCAATCAATCCATGAATGCTCACAAGTGAATGCAATAAATATAGATAATCTTACGAGTTGCAGGCCTGTTATGCCCATACACTTTGCCAGCCCACCAAAAAAAACATGAGTAAGAAGAAACAGGAAAGTCTTCAATGTGACATAACATGAATTTTTTATTGTTTGTGCCTTAGTAGAATGTTAAAATACACACTTGCATTTCAAGTCACCCAGTCAGCTGGGTTTGCATTTGTGGTGTGTGGCCATCTTTATTGCCTGAACAGCCTAATTGCATTGTAGTACCGCTAACAACCATTACTTCTAGGCAAATAAGTAATTTATCTGCCTGTTTTTATATGTGACTTTCAGTATTGCTTTGCTCTTTTTGGGACAATTTACCTGTCGACACAGAAACATGGTACAAAAACACATGCTTGACACAATATTGAGATATTATCTAAAGCAGGTGCTGCATAAATGCATTATTTGCAACTATGCTCAATACAGGAGTGGGAAGACAAACCGAGAGCCATAAATTCTATGTGTAGAAATGCATAGCAGTGTACGCAGTGCAATCCTGACAAAGCAGAATAAAAATTCTGGAGAGAGGGTAGAATAAGCATAGTGATATGCATAGTTAGCTGATCAGACCAGCATTAACAAAACAAACAGTGAAAAGGGTTTTCATTCAATCAAAATCAACACATAATAGCATGCAACTAACATTGACACAACACTAAAGGAACAACACACGATGTGTACAAGGGAAAGCTCAGGAATTCAACATTAACAACACTCTAAGTGTTAAATAACAAAGAGAACAAAAATAATGGCCGTCACACAAAGCAACAAATAAATCCTCAGTGCAGACAAGCCCATGCCTGCCGCTGTTCAGCCATTGGAAAGGTCACTGCATCGATGCCACTTTTGCAGTTTGTTTCAGGCCCAAGTGTTGTGCCTTGACAGAAAACTGTGTAAGGCACAAGTGCTTTTTATGTGCTGATGATATTCACAGCACGCCGTGCAGTACCATACGATTCCAATGCAAAGCACACTGTCTTCCCCATGTTTATGTTTACACAAGCTAGACAACATGTTCAAGCTAGTTACACATCAGTCCTGGACTTGAACACCATGCCATAAATACCAATAACTCCTCACACTCTATAATGGCAAAGCAACGCAAGAAGAAAAACATTGCCCCAATAACAAACGGTGTCTACACAGTATCAGTAACTACTTACAGCGGTTAAGATTAAGGATGTTGTAGGTTGCCGGCGGACCTAGCCTTGCATAATTTTCAGGCAATTGCCCCGCCCGGTTTCCTTTTTGCTAATTGTAGCTAATGTCATTTGTTTGTTTTTTAACTAATCACGAGCAGGCTTTTAAAATAAAAATCGTGCATAGCACGACATAAGCCTGCATATGACGGCGGCCTTTGTGCTATCCCATGTGCAGTATTGTGCGGGTACTCTATCTCGCTGCACTATACCCCAACCCAAACATAATTGTCCCTTATCACCAGTCACATGCGAGGTCTGTAGCAATCAAAAATTTCAAGAGAAGTCGCGACACCTGTTTTCTGAAGTCCCAGTGAGCATGCCGCTCAAATACAGAATTCAGTTGCTTTCAATGGGAACTTGAATGACGCAAAGAAAAACATTTATCTGATTAACATTTGTCAGCTTTGGCATCTACATATAATACTTCCAATCGAAAATTTTCTTGCAACACCCAGAACTGTCAGGATAACGCAAATAACAATGCCTCATTCAACCATCCATTTTGTGTCTCACTGCATCATTGAAACACCACAAAAATATATTATCTATGAAACGTTCAAAAACAAGCCATAGTATCGTTACCAAAGGCAGTAGTGGACAGCCTTGTCTGTCACCCTGCCCTCTTTTACGGGGTCCCTTGAGAGACTTCCTACTAATGTGGAAGTCGATATGCTTAGATTTTTGATTTAGCGAAGAAGCCTGCAATAGTTTATAAAGCTGCAAAGTAAAAGAAAGAATGTTGCAAAAATCTACCAACTGCACATAAGTGCCAGCACAATGATTGAGTGATTGTAAGTGGGTGCTTGGGAGAAATTTCCATCAAATCAGAGGGCCGGATAGTGCAAGGACTTGAGCTTCAGAAGTGGCTGGCTTCAATGGACATTTTTAAAAGGGCCGACAACCAAATTTTATGGTACCTGTTCCATTTAGTTCAAAAGAAAGGTTACCAGTCAGAGTGTCTGATCACAGGACTATAACGTGGAAAACATGAAACAGTTACAATCAAAACTTCTAAACTTCAGGCGACTACAAAGTTCAATATGCACAACACCTGCTTTAAACAGCGACTTGAACAGGACAGCGACTTGCGTAAGCGACAACCTAATCATGCACCGTCGCTCCGATTGCTTCTTTATTAACACAAAGGCAGCGTCGCTTCACAGTGTGCAACTCCTTCTACCTTGTAAGCAACACGAAATAAAGTGGGGACAGACAATAATATACACAATCTAATTATGGTGTGCATAAAAGCATCAGACTGCATACAGTAAAGTGAATGACTCCATAATCCAGCCTCAAGGCTCTTCTGCAAGGCTGCGTGGCAATAAGGATGTTGTTACGTTTACACACAATTTAAAATTAGAAGTCTTACCGAGACAGTAAAAAGGATGCTTGAATCTGTTCATTATAATTCACGGTCCCTTCATTCAATCAGGATCTAACGTCACATTATGGCCAGTTGTTGGCCCCTTTAAAATGAAACTATAGGAAGAAAACAGTGTTGCGACAGCAATGAAACAAGACAAAAAATGGTTGGGTGAATGGGCGTTGGGTGGTACCATGTAGTTTTTAAAGCATAAGTTGGCATTTTTAGCAGGAAGCACGCAGACATATTCGCCCGTTTTAACTACCCAGTCTCTCATGGTACGCACGTCACAAGTGACGTCATAACACATCACGGGAAAACAGCGTACAGAGCAGTTACCTGCTTTCCAAACTATGAAGAGTGCGAAATCTTAAGGAAAATTGTAATCAGAGCCAAAAACTAATGTGAGCACACGAAAAGTGCAATAGCAAATAGCAATGAATGCGGTTACTTAGTTTAAAATGTGGATTCACTGCACACACAAAAAAAAACCTTAGTTCTAACAGCACTACCACAAGCTGTTTTAGTCAATCAAAAATATATATTATAACCATTGTCTACAAAGCATTAGAAAATTTGTATCCTGCATAAGGCGCTCACCAAGCTTTAGGCAAACGAAGTAATAACAATTGTTCAACATTAGCGAAAGACAATTTTTTTTGCGTGCCACCTTCAGAAACACATTTCTTTAGAGTTAACTAAGTTCGCAACACTATGTTCAGCTGTGGTTTCAGATCATTTTTTATTGTTTTTCCTTAACTTCACAGCACTCTCATTGTCCTACGTAGTGAATGTACTCAGCGATGGAAGTAATGCTGCCAAAACAACAAAACATGCTCACTTGAAAATTTCATTTCATTGCACCCACTTCGATTGTTTAGTTTGAGCAAAGGTAACACTAGTCTAACATGTGACAGGTGAAGAAAAAAGCCTCACTCTCATATATTCCATTACACCAAACTCTTTAAAGAATCCATGGGACAGGCGTAAAACCTGTTTTGGGTTACCACGATAATTACTGTTAAGGGAGAGGGTGCATTTCATGCAACCGGCATTGTACCTTTAAGGGCACTAAATAGCAAAACAAATTTTTTTATGTAAACATCACGCTTGCTGCAAGAAAAAGCTTGGCAAGCAAGCGAACGCACAATAATAAAATGCGGGTGGCATTCCGCACTAGTCATCGTGACGTCACTGATTTGCACGCCCTTTATACTAAAGCCTACGTTGTTCATATCGATAAAAATGACATAGAGTGTTTTCTCAGGAAGCCAGAGACTTGACATGCCAAGTTTCGGGAAAATTCATGGAGCCAATGTGGCCAAAACACGAAAAGCACTTTGAAGTTCGGGATGAAATCTGTCAAACTTAAAAGCTAAACTTCTTAAGTGATTTTTTTCATTCATTGATAAACTTATAGTGGGGAGATTAACAACACTGCATTCTCCACAGTATAAATTGTCAGTCTAATACCCCTGTCACACTCGAGGTGTTAATGTTATTAGGTTCAAGTGTCATTCGATCCGTGGTGGTGCTACACAGGAATAAAGCAATGCCATTCCTTCACAATATAAATGTCTATATTTGAGAAAAAAAATTGCCAAAGAGATGAAGCAGGTAACTGCAAGGTACACGATTATACGTCTCCCGGTTTCACGACGACTCGCATTTTACGACGAATTGGTTTGGTCCTGGCATAATTTCCATAAAAGTAACGTACTGAAAACCTTAGTTATACAACGCAGTTTTACACCTACCCGCATCTTACAACGATTTTCAGATTCCGTCTGAAAGATAAAACCATCTTTACTGGAATCAAACATCGACCAAATATTAACGAGTGCAAAATATGAACTTGCGTTCCCCTATGTTGGCGATTGTAGTAGAGAGTGAGAAAGGATGTCTTCTTAGAATAGGAAGTTTGTTCTTCCGTACTCTTGTCCGCGTCAAAATGATAGATACCCTGAAAAATCAGCATCAATAGCGTGTTTGCATAAATGTTGGTCAATTGAGAATGCCAAATGCCACCCCTCTACGTAGTCTCTGGTTTAGAATGTAAACATTCAGTTTGACTGCAACAGCGTATGGGTTTCTCCAACTCATTTGATGGCTTAACTCACTCGATTCTAATGAAAGTATATATATATATATATATGTGTAGCAGCCGTATGATGCCATTAGGTGTGAATTTCATTCCATTAAAGTGACATTAAAACGTCTGGTGTGACAGAGGTATAAGCTAACTTTTTATTTCCCTTCGGTGTTCCTTAACGTTGACAATGTCAAATGTAAGCAACAGTGTGTAAAAGTAACATGTAAAGGTGGTGCAAGAGAACCCAATACAGTCAAGAACCCTACACCTCTACTTTCTTCCTTCACAACACTAATAAAACTTCATACTTGCTTGCTTTTGCCATATTCCACAGTAATCACACCCACCTACAGCTACTCAAATCCATTCATATGCAATGATCCAGTGCACAAGTTCTGGAGATAACAGTAAGAGTATCTAATTTGTACAAGCCACTAATAAAGAATGTATGGAGTTTAGAAGAAATAAAAAATAATCAGAATCATTATATTACACCAGACATCAATGGTGCCTCATATGTCTGTGAAACAGGCTTGAAAGTGCTGCATCAAATGTTGCATTCACAACCTCATTGTTGTCCTTCTCACTCAGTCTATATTTGTTGCTTGAATATTTTGAAGCTGCATCTGTTAAAGCAACATTCATCAATAGGAGTAATGCAGAAAGAGCCAAACGAAAGTGCCTTAAGTTACAAAGTGGTAACGGAAAACAACCTTGCGCAGCTCTTATGTGGTGTCAGGACCTTTCGTAAGCTTGCCATATTGCAGCACCCTGAATTCTGTAGCCATAGCAAGCCATGAAGGTCATACGTACATAAAAACAAAGTTAAAGTAAATGAACAGTTATTCCAAAGTATACGTACACAAAAACAAAGTTAAAGTATATGAACAGTTATTCCAAAGTAATTTAGATAGTCATAACAAGGAAATGGCAGCAACAAAAGACTTTAATTCATCTTAGTCGAGTAATTTATACTGGTGTCACACGGTGATTTTCAATTGCAATCAGGCACACTACAGATCGAGCATCTTGATCGTGATTGGTTCCTTTAGGCAAGCTGCAAAAGGGAGCCAATCACTTAGATTTCCCTAATTCTTAAGTGCGCTTCTCTGCAATGCATATTCACCCTACTAATGGCAGCACCGGTGATGCTTCAAGTGGAGACAAAGCCCTAGATAAAGCCCTAGCTTTTCTATAATCCTCGTCTATATCAACACAGGAGAGTCTATGTTTTCCACCTCATACCATAAGCAAACTGTGCTCGAATACACTGTTTTCAGCAAGAGGACAAACTGCATAGTGGGGAAGGTAGCTTTACGATTAGGAAAAAGGTCCATTGTGATCTGCAGTACACTGTGCGACACCTGTATTAGCTACTCTTAACAGTTTGTCATATAAATGCCTTGCTGTAATTACAGTACCAGTTCTTCAATCTACCAGTATAGCTAAACGTGGAATCATTTTTCTACAGTGCCTTTTTAACTTGAAAAAGAATGCTGCCTTTCTACGACCATCCGAGTTTAAAATCATTAAGGAAGCACGTGAGGCTGCGCCTTTTTTTTCTCCTCAGTGAGTTGGTGTAAAAGTGGAGGAACACAAACGGTCGCAATTATAGCTGTACAGTTGAACCTGCACAGTGATACAGCCATACCTGGACATATAAAAAATAATATCTGAAGGGAATCACAAAATAGTGAATTGGTAATCTGACACAAGATATAGGCCTCAACTACAGTTAAACCCCTATATACGAGGCATGCTCCGAGCAGAAATTCTTGTCTTTTATATGCAATGTCTATTGTAGGCAGAAGACCTCGTATGCATTTTCCTATCACCTTGTATCTTACTGTAGGCACACTGGTGTCTTTTATACCACCTCTTCTTTTATAAAGGGGTTCTACAGTAGTACATAGGCACTAAGTGGTAGCTCCTTTCACCATTAGCATGCTTTACTGTGTGCCACAGGTGCATTGCAGTGCAGCTTAGTAAAGCGAATGCCTCACTTGAGAATTGCAAGCAAGATACTTGCTACATGAGCTATGCATAGTGTTAAGACATTCGCCGTGAACATTTTTTTTTCTCCATGTCACATAATTCCTTCCATATTCATTAGTACCTCAAGTAACAATATCTGCCACAACAGTGCTACTTCACCAGCAGTGAATATTTTTACTGATCGTAGAAGTGATCATGGTACTGTTTAAAAGACTAGCACTTGCATGGAAGGAGCGTGGTATAGCGTTGATAGATTAAGTTTGGGGGTGGCGTGATGTTTTCCAGTACATGCATATTACAGTACATGCTTTCGCATTGAATTCCCAAGGCTACGGTACAACTGCTCAAAATAAAGACAACTCCATACATCCATGTTGAACTGAGCACTTGCCTCGGTTCAAAGTGGCCCATACTTTTTCTCAGCGAGCTTTCCGACTACAGAGGAAAAAAAGAACTAACTCTTGTTTGCCGGCGCTATCAATCAGGCGTGTCAATAGCAAGCGCCGCTACAATGGGACGTGGTTCGGCAAGCACCGAACTCCGGGGACGCTGCCGAGGTATCGACTTGACCTCCAAAGTGGTAACAGCATCGACTGAGGGTGGGCTGTCAGCTTCGTTGTTGTGCAGGCTGTAGGAAATGTTACCGTACTCTTGAAGTAGTGGGCAAGCTCCCAACAGGAACTGGCAGAAGTCCTTACGGATTCCAAACCACCCTGCACAGCAATGGTAGAACTGGTTGTTATCAGTCCACGCTGACTATCCCCGCCCCGTGCGATATGATACTAAAGCTATTGCAAGGTGAGCAACAACAGCTTTGAACTAGCAAACTCTAATTTGCATAGTCACTATGATTTTATCAGAGCGTGGCACAATACAACATAAAAAAGAGACATCCAAACATGCCCATACCTGCGTGATCAAATCAACAATCTAGTTCAAGTTGAGCACTTTACAGCTACTAACCGTAGTTCTTTATGAGACTTGCCCTTATCTCTTATTTCCTTTTTGTTTTGCACCAGTACTAGCACGCCTGCTTTGGAGGAATGATACATGTCTAAAGCAAATTAGTGACAGAACAAGTTTACATCTGTATGCCCCGCCACGGTGGTCTAGTGGCTAAGGTACTCGGCTGCTGACCAGTAGGTTGCAGGATCAAATCCCGGCTGTGGCGGCTGCATTTCCGATGGAGGCAGAAATGTTGTAGGCCCGTGTACTCAGATTTGGGCGCACGTTAAAAAACCCTACGTGGTAGAAATTTCCGGAGCCCTCGACTACGGCATCTCATAATCATATAGTGGTTTTGGGACGTTAAACCCCACAAATCAATCAAGTTTACATCTGTCATTGGCTTTGTCTAGTAAGGTTCAATACTCAGTGGTGATTGTTTGTTGGCCTTTGGCACACAAGCTGCAAATAATAACAAAAAGGCAAATTTATATTTTCATGAAGTCAATTTGTTTTTGTTTTATGCGAATTTGAAAGTTTCTTGTTCATGGCAACCCAGACACACAATACAAAATACAGTAGGCGCCTCCAAGTGCTTTTATGTTTGCTAAAGTGTTTGTACATCTGCAGAGCCTTAGCTCTTTTTTTTTTCAATGCCTAAATTTTAGGCTGAACATCGCATGTATGTGAATGTGTTTCACTGAATGGTACTGTGCAGCAATTGTGAGATATTAAAAGAACAAAAGAACAGCATTCCAAACAAAAGTATGAAGACTGTCCTGATGTATAGCACAGTCTATAGATTTAAACAGGACAAATTGACCTAGCCATTCCAGGGCTGCATTTTACAAAAAGGAGCTTTCAGATACAAAAGCACTTTTGAGAAAATGAGCCACAATGTTATGGATACAGATTTTTTCATGATAAATTGCAATAGAACTAGTACAATACTTGGTGTGTTTGTTCACGTACAACCATTTATGCCTCTGCTTTTTAACTTGGTAGTGTTTGGAATTTTCAGGAGCCTAGACCATTCACCACAGATGCTTTTGTAGAGGCCAATCTGTACGAGTGAACCAGACTGCATGGCGACATAGCACATAGTGGATGGTTCCGCCATTTCACCGAGGCACGGCAATCGCATGAATAAATAGTGAATACATGGTGTCACCACTGCTGTCAGGCTCACTGTAATGCAATCATTAATTAAGCAGGAGAATGAAAGCAAATTTTGATGATAACATTTAAGGATGTAATCCTATACAAGGAAATTAAGTACATAAAGCACCACATTAAACTTTCGTATGTAAGGTTACATCACATCCCATACTATATGTGCACCTCTGTGCTGCCAGCATGAAGAAAACTAAACAGTGCAATGTGCTAAGGCTGCTCGTCGGAGAAACCAATTGCCCCACTCTCGGGTAAATAGCTTAATGTCTACAGCAATATCTATGTAACAATTATGTGCATTTTGCAATCCCAAAACTGACCATTAAAGTAAAATTAATTGGCAGAATGCATATCTAAATCTGTAGAACTAGGAGCATGTTTTTATTACTTGTGCCACAAATGTGAGCAACAAGAGAAGCCTTCATATAATTCACTGCATTGATTCTGAGATACGAGATAGAGTACTGCCTAGCCGTTACATGTTCACAAAGATTTTAATAAGCAACTCATTTTATTCATGAAAAATTTATGGAACGAAGGGATTCAAACACTAATGACTGATAGTAGCGAAGATTAAGGATACGGACAGAAGAAGACACATTCAAGATAACACAGCACTCTCCTATAGGTCCTTAGTCTGTGCTACCACCAATTATCATGCTACCATACCAACAAGCCTGAATCGCTACTCTCATTAAAACACTCTCATCATAATATGAATAACAGCTTCATGGCATTTGTCAATGATGCAACAAGTGATGACTAATATTACACAGAAAGGTAGTTATATTAGCTTATAGTATTAGAAAGAGAAAGTATACCACGTACAGTGGTTCCCCCCTTTGGATCCAAAGGACAGGAAGATGAGAACAAGGAACGTGAAATAGAGGGGCGTGCAAGTTTCCGTGTAACCAAGGCTGTCCTCTGTGTCCAGTTTATTCGACAGCAACACCTGCAATGAAAGGCCAACAATACAACTTGAAGTTTGCAGTCTTACACAAAATGAAGCAGTGCACTGGTAAAGTGAAACACTCGCACAAAGGCATACTTCCAGAGATTAACATGCTTTGTACTACCTATAATACTAATCCTTTTTCTTTGCCCACTCACCTTGCTTATGAAGAAGTGCCCACTAAGGAACACCAAAGACGAGTCGGTGAATAGTGAAAACTTATTTGTTACATAATGAAAGCTTTTGTTTCATTAAAACAAACAGGCACAGTTTTTACACACAGGCCCCCTTAAAGGCCAACCCTAATGCCTTTTTTTTTTACTATGTCAGGTAATCGTGGTTTTCAGTTCCTAAGACACTAATAGTCATGCTTTGGATGACTAAAATGCTCTGCCGATTTGAAAAAAATTATAGCAAGCAAAAAGGCGCAATACTGCAACCAAAATCCAACCAAGTGCATTGTCTACATATGACAGACTACATTGCAAAAACCGAAAATCCTGCAAGGCATGTGTAAAGTATGAAAACTGCAAAAGCCACAAAGAGCGGACGCTCAACGGATAGATGACCACTCTTCACCATGTCTGTGACTCATCATGCCACATGCACAGGCTCCTCGGAGCTACCGGACAGTGACAGCTACGATTTGGACACATTTGGACGTCAATGAGGATCGTCGTTCCTTTTCAATGAACCAGAACAGATTTTCATATCTGGTTGCACATAACACTGCCAAACTGCACTACTTGTCCAGGCCGTCACAGTAAGTGGCTGCGCCGAGGGGCTAAAATGCTAGCGCTAAATGTTCGTCATCAAACTAAGACTCTTTAATATGGTCATTGAAAGAGGGCATTAGTTTGAGAAGTGCACTATGACTTCGTCAAGATTGATTATTAATATCAGTCAAGCAAGTACCCCTCTCACAGATGTGCAGCTGACTGTAGATAGATGCGATCACAGTAGGGCCCGGTATCCGTTACTGAAGGCGTTTCAGTGCGCTAGACCTCGTGCATGTGCACTCTATCTAACAGGCGCAGTATTAAAACTACTTACTATGCTGTAAGCTGCCAGTGCTAGCTAAAACATTCTACTATCAAGACCATAGCTAGTCAAACTGACTCCTGAGTAGACTCGTTCGGATTCACTCACACTCATATTGAGCTGTGAGTCTGAGTGAGTCTGGGAAAGTAATATTTTGGTGAGTTCGAGCCCGAGTGAGTCCAAAGTGCGGTATATTTTTTCAGTGCGTCTCGGTGGGTCTCACTTTTGTTTGTCAACCTATGATCGAGACGAAGTGTAGTCATCAGCTGCGAGTATTTAGTGGTTATGGCGAATGTATGGCGAATCATGTGCGGCCCAAAACACATTACCACTTGCCACCCTCTATACAGACAAGGGAATCGCAGCCTAACGTACACAATCCACATCAGACAAGCACACGCTGCAGTGGCATTAAGTTCAGTCACTGCCGTTGCTTTGCAGAACTTGACGTCAGACACACAATGTTGCCAATTATTTCGGTGACCCAGGCGAGCGTTTCGAGGCAACCTATAAAATTAATTTGAAAACAGTCTGCTAATCTCTCAAGCATGTTATTTGGCATAAACGGTGAAAACGTGCAAATGAACGCATCCAGTGAACTTTTATTGAATACCACTGAACTCGAAAAATTGCTGGAGTTGCCCTTTAACAGTGCCACATTATCAGAAATATGGGGTTGCAATAAAACTGCACACTTTTAGCAATATGTTGTCTTCTCATAGATTCAGGGCAGTCTGCTTCAAATCGCAATATTCGTATTTTTATTTGCTCAATGACCTTCCACAAAGTATCACACAGGTCGCATTTGTACGCAGTATGGAACAATTACCCTAGTGACACCATGTCAATTTATAAGGCCTGTGCGAATATTCGAATGCTTCGATTATTTCAACAAATATTAGAGCATTCAAAGTCGCTTCAATTTGAATATGAATCACCTAAAATTCTGAAGTATTTGAAATTCACAAATAGATGTATATTAATGCACATGTAACACCCGTAAAGGTAATTTCACTACAGTGAAGGAGTGCTAAGCCGTGAAATAACTTATCAAATTTATTATTTTCCACATTACTTTTTGCAAAGGTGCTTTCACTGCAATGGAGAAGTGCTAGGCCATGAAGCACCTACTTAAATGTAATAAATTGCATGTAACTTTTTGTAAAGGTTGTTTCGCTGCAGTGAAGTGGTGCTAAGCCATAAAAACATGTTTAAAAAAAATCGCAGTGCTACAAAGCCCCACTTCAAGATTAAATGAAAATATTACCCTCGCACCAATTTATTCTTTAAATTTAAAAACATGTTATACCAGTTTATATGCTCCAAGTCTAGTAACCCTTAAAACGGAAAATATTTTACAGGTTATCACTTGCATTCTACCGAAAGTCAAATCCTGCTACTATTCAGTTATTTCCACTTCCTTTGGACCAAAAAAAAAATGGCATTTGCACGGGCCTTGTTTCTATTTTTAAAAAACATTGTGCAGGTTTGTTTGGTCACGACAAATATGCCTGTTTTTCTTCATTATATGTGATATATGCTAGATATATGCCAATAACAATTGTTGGGGTTTAAGTTCCCAAAACCACCATATGATTCTGATAAATATATGCTATTCCAATACGTTTCGAAATTATTCAACAAGAATCCCTATTCCCTTCTAACCTAAAGTTCACTATTTGCACAAGCCCATAATTGAGACTTCGACCCATTGTACATAAAGCTTGATTCTCTTCAACAATAAACTCAGGAAATCTAGCATAAGTGTGCTGGACGGCTGTGCACCATCAGTTACTCTTTTTGCAGAGCACACATACAATGAAAGTTGGTCACATTACAGTACGCATTAGATACATTTAAGAGCACCTGGCACTCAAGATTAACTTATCAGAGGTGGCTTAGGGTACACGGCTTTGGGAGCAGGCTTGAAGGGGTAATAAAGGCTTTATCGAGCAAGTTTGGGGCAGTCAGGAAGACCGCTCAGGGCAGATGTAGCACCATTCCACAACACTTGTGAAGCAGCATTTGACCAATGCTGTATTTAGCAAACACTATTTGGGTAAATTGTGCAATAGCCTTATTTAGCTATGTACACGCATTCCCATCTTCTTCGTTTTATTGACCATATTTTGCCTCTCAATGGCTGCATTCACGTTAGGTACTAAAAGATTCCTAGAGAAATATGCCCATATTCTGGAATTTTTCTTCGAGTAAAGTGAGGGTAGTGTTTGGTTGTATTATTTACACCAAACAGCAGTTTCAGTATGTGAAAGATAAACATAGCTTTGTGTTTGCCAATCCCAAAGTTGTGAGTCAACGAATGCACCTCGTTACACACCACTTACGTAGCTGATGTACTAACACGTGAATGTTGAAAGGCACAACTGGTTAAACAATCTACATGAGCATATAAAACCAAAGATCACAAGCAAAAATGCATAATTACCACACTTCGAAAGCAAAACAAGTTAATAAACATATGGAAGAGTCCGAAATTCTTTATTTAATACATGTAAGTGGCGCAGTCAAGGCATGGCACACCGGGCCCATACCCTTTCCCACCTCCCCAAATTTTTTTTCTGCCATAGCATACAGAGCCTAAAATGACACCCGACCACACCCACCTGCCCAGTAAAAATTCGCATGCCACAGTGCAATCACATCGCTGCAAATAAGTTTGGTACAACAGGGATGCTTAGGCACAGGCTGATAAAAACAAGTTTGGCACACAATGACGCGAATGGCGCAGCTGTTACACATTGAACTTATACATAATGTGATGTCACTTGCAAATGCTGGCTATGATGTAATGCCACCCATAACTTAGCCCTATGCTTTGCTTTTCTGTCCAGACACCTCTGGCCAAGTGAACTTACGAGGAACACAAGGAGGGGGCCCACGATCATGCTGTAGGAGACGGCCGAGTGTAGGCTAGTGCGTCGCTGCTCAGGACTCACTTCAGGCGTTCTCAACAGGATGCTCGCAAAGATGATAGCATAGAGCACCCCAATCACTGCCAGGCACATTACTATCCACAATGGCACGAAAACCACCTGCGAGAGCACAAGAAGCAATAAGCATAACGTTAACCGGACACTAAAGGCAAATATTAATTCAACGGTGATTGCTGAAACAGCATCCAAAAACCTTGTAGTGCTACTCTGGTGAAAAGAAAATGCTTATTTTGACATAAAATCACGCTTTGGTGGCATGCATCACATTAGCGCACTTTAAATCACTCACCTAAAAGCGGACCGTTTGACGTCACTGTTGCCTGCCTTAACTGCCCGGTCACCGACGATAGTAGCAGCAGAGTGAAAGTAGCGGGAGCCACAGCAGCAACAATGGCCATTGAAAAATTTTCTGCAGGCTTGTTTCAAGTAAGGCCCTGCTAAATGGCACCACCTAGCCAGCGAAATCATGCACAAGCGGAAATTTTGAACCACTTCTAGTACTCTCCATAGCATGGGCGTCGACAGGCGGATGCAAGAGGGGCACTTGCCCCCTGTCAAGACACACCACCACCTGCCATCACCCAAGCTACACCAGTGCTCTTCCCCTCTGGCAGTCGTGATGCAACACTGGTTTGCACCCCCCCCCTCCCACCCCCAAGAGAAAATCCTGCCGAGGACCATGCTCCATAGTAACGCCATGCAGTTCTTTTTTCTATGATCACACAGCAATGAACAAGCAGCATTTTATTATGTGTTGTAACAAATGGACAGACAGACAGCTAACTTTAAGGACCAAAAAAGTTACTGCAGAACCCTCTAACGAGGGGCCGCTGTAAGCAGTGGCCGTGCCCACGTAGAGGACAGAACACCGTGACACTCCGCCCATTCCTGGGCCCTCTGGACTGCCTGGATTTGCCTGCTGAGTTCCGTACTTCTGATGGCTTCCTCCCATTCGACTTTGCTTGAGAGAAGGTTGTTAAGCAGCACGGGACATCGCCAGAGCATGTGAGCCATAGAGCAGAAGGTTTCAATGCAGTCAGGGCACCTAGAATCAACGTCCGTGTATATTTTACCTAAGAATCCCCATGACGGGAAAGACCCCGTCTGCAACATTCTCAAGGTAGCTGGTTGTGCTCTGCTGAGCTTCTTGTGAGGAAGAGGATAGATTATTCAGTTAAGTTAGTAATGCATGGTTATTTCACTGAATGTGAATAGTGCATCGTTCTGCTGAGTTCCTTCCTGCCCCTCCGTAGCTTCCAGACCGTCGGGGTGCGTAAGTTGTCGCGCACGATCATGGGCCAGCTCGTTGGGGTTTGGTAAGTCTTCGAGAACGTTCTTCCCCATGTGTGCGGGGAACCAAGTGATAACATAATAACCTGGACAAGCCCTCTTTTCTAGAATGGAGGTCGCCTTTCGAACGAGGTTGCCCGATTGGGAAGCTGTAATCGCGTCTCTTGAGTCGGTGTAAATGTATAAACGCTCTGGATCGGACAAGGCCAGCGCAACCGCGATTTGCTCTGCTATACCCGAGGTGGCCGCCTTTACCGAGGCAGAGGAGCGAAGCACCCCCCTTCCCTCTATAACCGACAACGCTAACATTCTACTGTTATCATACTGCACTGCGTCAACAAACATGGCGGAGTCAATGTCATCCCTAGCTCTCTTCAGGATGGCTCGTGCACGGGCTTTGCGCCTACCCTCGTTGTGTCGTGGATGTACGTTTCCCGGAAAGGGCCCCACCCTGTAGGTCACCCTTGTTTCCCAACTCAGTGTTGTTCGCTGTTCTTCTGTAAGCCTAGGAGACATGTCGACCTCGTCAAGGATTCTCCTGCCTGCCAAGGTTGGTGATAGCCTAACCACCTAAGCAGTGACCTGCGCCTTTATGATCTCGTTGATGTTATTGTGCATACGAAGTTCATCTAGCTTGTCAGTGCTCGTACAGATCGGCAAGCCAAGCACATTCTTGATGCTGTTACGCATGAGCATATTTAACTTCCTCTTTTCTGCTTTGGTCCATACCAGAGCTGGCGCCACATAGTTAATATGACTCATGAGAAACGCATGGTACATCCTCAGGAGGTTGTTCTCACTTAAACCCTTTCCGTTGAACACCCTTGCAATTAACTTCAGCATGTTCTTCGTTTTGGCTGTAACGTGGCTAATTGTTTTGGCATTACAGCCCCTCGCGTCTATGAACAGGCCTAGTATCTTAAATGAGTCAACTATAGGAATTTTTCGCCCACTTGCGTATAATGCCACAGGTAGCTGGTTGAGGGGTGTTAGACCCTTACCCCTTGTATAGCCGGTCTGTAAAATAACAGCTCTGATTAACTGGGAGACAGCTTGGGACCCGTGTCTGCGAGATAGGTTTGTGCCTCATCTAAGGCCACCTGTAAAGCTTGCTCCATTTCTGCTAGGGAACATCCCGGGCACCAAATCGTAATGTCATCTGCATATAGTGCATGACCTATGCCCCGGAGGCCACCCAGTCTGTCCGAAAGACCCTTCATCACTATATTGAACAACAGTGGTGAAATCACTGACCCCTGGGGGCTACCTCGAAACCCCAATCTTTTTTTACTGCAGCTGCTTTGGTTACCAGTGATTAACTGTAGTCGGGTGCTTTGCCGTTACGGAGATCATTTCAAAATATCCCATTTGTGGCGCATTTGGTGCCATATATGTACCTTAATTTATTAGTAGAGTACTGCTGTTGATAATACCAATGTTTTAGACATTCCCAAATATTGATCATCCACTATGATATTTTCCTTTAATATGCTTTTAAAGGGTCATACAAGTGGTCGAAACAGGTGACAATATCTTAGTGAAAACAAAAAGACCATGAATTAACATTACAGGCTCGCGCATAGCTTTCGTGATTTGAGAAGAATTTATATTTATAAATCGCCTTCAAAAGTACAGAATACCAGTATGAATGAAGAAAAGTGTGAATTCAAGGGCCTGTTTGTTTTGTTAGACACAATATTAATAAGAACTAACAGACAATAATGCCACAAAAAGTATAGGAGTTGTTATTAGAAGTAATTGCAATGTAAATGGGAAGAAAGAAATGTGGATGAAAAGGTAACTTGCCACCGGCAGGATACAAGCCCTCTTTCTTCACATTTACATTACAGTTAAAGCCCCTATACTTTCCCTGGCATTATTGTTGGTTAGTTCTCGTTAGGAAAATATTGGTACGCAATGCAGCCAGGCAGAGAAGCCTTGAAGCTGGATTAAAGAGTCAGTCATTTAGCTGTACATATTCTGATGCTTTCATGCATGCATAATTAGTACACAGAATTATACATCCCTGCTCATATATATACATACGCTGGTCACAAGGCAAAAGGAATTTCACACCGAGAAGCAGACCTAGAGTCATGGTGCACACTCACACAGTGCATGCATGCGCTGTAAACCACCACACACAAATGGGTCGTTCCACGCAAAACCTCCCAGCCACTTTGGCGACCATCTCAAATGAACTCGAAAAAAATCACGTTGATTTACTGCATAGAGAACAGTGCAAGAATATTTTGAAAAGAAAGAGATTTTCGGTCATGTAGGTACCTTCAAAATTTCCCAGCATGTCGTCTGGGTGTTGTTTGTGAGAAAATTTATTTTTAGAGTACCGCTCCTTCTTTCCATACCAAATTTGGTTTACATAATAGGTAACAGTGCTTGTGCAAGGTGTTTTGAGCTGATAAATATTAGCAAAATTTTTCTGCCACACACACCTCCAAGAATTTAGCCAAAATGTGTTATGTTTGCATTTGTTCTATTGCAATACTGTACTTCGTATGAATATCTGAGCAATAAATACTGACTACACCGAAAATATATTTTGCGGGAAAAATATCTTTAGACCATTCAAGTTGATAAGCTTCATGAGAAAAAAAAGCAAATTTCATAAAATTGTCATTTCTGTCCACATTGAGACGCAATTTACACCGTAAGGTGGTTCAATTAAACATCACTTTTATACTTAAATTTAACGCAAACACACAGTACTATTTATACGGCAAGTTTTAATTGATTGATTGATATGTGGGGGTTAACGTCCCAAAACTACCATACGATTATGAGACGCCATAGTGGAGCGCTCCGGAAATTTCAACCACCTGGGCTTCTTTAACGTGCACCCAAATCTGAACACACTGGCCTACAATATTTCCGCCTCCATCGGAAATGCAGCCACCGCAGTCGGGATTCGATCCCGCGACTTGCAGATCAGCAGCCGAGTACATTAGCCACTAGATCACCGCGGCGGGGCATGGCAAGTTTTATCATTATAATTTTTGTTTTAAGGAAGACAATAATTTTCGAATTTTTCTATTGACGGCAACGGAGAACTTCAAGGTGGAAGCGATCGCATGACCCAATGGGAAGATGGTCGTTAATGGGAAACTTCAAGAAATTATTTTCTTCCTTAAAACAAAAATTGTAATGACAAAACTTTTCATATAAGAAGTCTTTATTTACTTTCGATTCAGACACAAAGGTGATTTTTAACTGGATCACTGCATGGGGTCAATTGCATCTCAATGTGGACAGATATGATGATTTTGTGAAATATGTAATTTTTTATTGTAATTCTTGGCGTTCTGAGGGGTCTAAAAATATTTTTTCTGCAAAGTATACCTTTGTGGTGTTAGTGTCCATTTCTCAGATATTCATACAAAGTGCAGTATTGCAATAAAAAAAATGAAAACAACACATTTTGGACAAATTCTTGGAGGCATATGTAGCAGAAAAATTGCACTTATGCTACTCAGCTTCAAACACCTTACACAAAACACCTTACTTGCGATGCATGGAGAACACGAGGCCAGGAAGAATGAAGAAAATGGCAGAGCCAAGACCCGGGTGGAAACCCTTTTTATGTACATAAGCATCAGTAATATATACACCTGTACGGGTTCCGAAACCGAAACCGTAATCGAAACCCCTAACACAATAATTATGATAACCAGATTTGGAACACAAAGAAGCGATACTTCTAAAATAAATTTTCTCGCAAACAACATCCGAACGACATTCGGAGAAATATGGAAGGTACCCACGTCGAAATACACATTTTTTTTTTCTCAATTCACGATTTTCAATGCAGTAAATCAGCATGATTTTTTTAAGAACACATTTTAGATGCTTGCCACTGGAATATCTGGCGTGTAATGACCCAAATGCAAACAACTCTCCCACTCACATCCCCCTGTTTGAAGCATATTGTGTGTACATATAACTTCACAATCGCCACAGACGAAAAAATTTTCTTTATAAATGTCTCACAGCGTTTTCCGTGTTGGCATTCAATGATTAGGCTTGCTGGTAAGCTTTCTCTTGCAGCAAAGAAAACAAATAGTACCATAAAGTTTTGTTGTGGGTCCCTTTAAGGCCCCAGAATGTGGCTGCACATGAAAGCTGAGCATGAGAGCTGAGCATGAAAAAGCGCAGCTAGAACGACACCAAGGAACAACTAATGTACCACAGAATAAGCGTCGACTTGGAATGAGAGTGGAAGAAAACTTCTTTGTTATACCATCTTAGAGTAGACATGCATACACCATTCCTGTGAAATTTGTTCTTCTGGTGTCCTTGTTCTAGTCACACTGTTTTATTCTTTCCTATGAACCAACAAGACCTCATGTAGATATTACATCAGAAACCATACTGCTGCCAATTTTCGCATTTGCTGGTAATCGCTGAACGCAGCCAATGACTTGGTACATATTCTTGGTGTACTCAAATTTGTGATAAGAACATGTGAATATGCCGCGGCTTTGTTTCCCAGTTCCTCTGAACTATATTTGCTTGCCATGTGGATGTACTGGCAATACTATTTAAACGTTATGTTTCGCTCGTTCTTCACTTCTCTAACATGCTTTGCAGATGTTTCATTTGCACTTATCTTCCTCATATAATTCCTCTCGTACTCAATGCCGAGCCAACTAGTAGGATATTTTTTCAATGTAAGCCGACGTCAGCCCAATGCAAAGAACAGCTAATTGGCTTTTCTGAAAGCAGTTCACAGTACAAAAAAAAAACATGTAGCATTGAAGTATGACTACAAAGCTTCGAATTTTGACATGTGTATAAAAACTAGCTTCCCACTGTGTGCAGAGCTCTTTGCATTTTCACCGAACATCAGGTGATCGGGACTGTGACTGTCAGCTGTCAAACACATCCTGCATGTTTTTGTTTTCTTTTTGCTTCCCATTCTCTTTGCAAAAGGCATGCCGTCACAGAAGTGAGACAGCAAAAGTGCATGAGCTGCCGCTCAGCGTGACATGTGGATGAATAATACAGGTCATCAACTTCAAAAGAGCATTTTTTTTGGCACGGACCTCGAAAGTCCTCGAAAGGTCGTTAAACTTTAACAGAATGAGAACGCAGGCTTCAAAGGCTGCTGGAAGTCGGTCTCTTAATTTGTCCAGCAAGTATAGCATAGATAAAAAGAATTTTTTCTACAGTAACTACAAAACTACTGTTTCAGTTTCTCAAAAGAAGGACCTGTAGAAATATTTTTTGCATGATGTGAAAATTTTGGGGGAAGGAATTACTGAACTGGAATGAATCTGCTTCAAGATTCGAATGTCAGGTAGTGTTTTTTTTTAACAAAGATATGCAAGACATGCAGCTGTATCATAAAAACAGCAGCCCATCAGTTCCTTATCTATATATTCAAGATGTAAGCTGTACCAGCATCTCTTCAAATGCATTCAGCTGGGCTCATATAAATAGAGGTAACATACACCAAACGTGATAAAAACGAAAAAGACATAGTACGGATCTATTTTTAAAAAATCAGCCTTCGTTTTCTATCTATTGCAGATAAACAGCGTACAATCACACACTACGTACAATTGCACACTACGTGCTATAAGCTGCAAGCTAATCGTAAGGAAAAACTATACTATACATGATCTTGAATACCTGCAGGTAATCATGTGCATGTCACAGCATTCAGTCTTTATAACTTCTCGATTGTTAAAAGCATTTTAAAAGCCCTACATAAGAACACTTATGCGAGAAAAAAAAAACAATTAAAAGACAATGTTATGCAATGCCAAAGACATTACTTTTACAGATAATATAATATACACAGCAATACAGAAATTACTGTGTCATTGTGTTAAAGCATAGCATTCAATATGAAACACAGTTGTCATGGTCAAAAACTTACCACCCAGCTCCACTGGATGAACTTGTCCAATTGGAGAGCCAGGAATATAAACTGCAGCACGTTCACAGAACAGAAGAGCTCCAACTGAGTACAGAAAGCACAATATGACACAAAGATTATGTAGGTTTCAAAAGTTACCTCCGGTGCTATTCTAGTTTTATCAAACAACATTGTTACAGACCTAATGAAGTGATATGTGAAAAGATTAATTATTCAAACACACAACAAGCCAAATTGACGTTCCGTAAACAATAAATGCATAACACAAGGGATATACAGCAACGATTCTTATGAAGATGACAAGGATGGAGGCTCAGGCTTGTAAATTTATGACAATAATCTTACAGCTCGAGGAAATGAAAGACAAAAAAGAAGACACGCTGCACTCTCCTGCAACACAACTTATTGCTGAAGCTGTTTCCTGTGCTTACATACATAGCACATGTTCATATATATGCATATAAGCACATTAAACTATTTTGTAAGACAGCAAAGTGTGCCAGCTAGATTCAAGTCTTTGAGCCTTTAAACTCCAAGACTGCAGTCTCAAGAAGAGTATGTTGCATATTGTATGGCGTTCTCCTACACAACATTCAATCTTCACTTGTGAAAGCTGATGGTAGCAGTGTCTCCCGACAGAAGTTATCAAACGTGCCACGACAATTTTCAAAGAGTATGACCACTTTTTCGGTTGAGGCACAGCGCTGTCATCAACAAGGTGGTGCGCTTCAAGTTGAAGAAGGTTTGAGATATGAAGATAATGCACGCCAAATCACAATAAGCATGATTCAGACTGTAGAATATGCTACATGTGCTGCCCTCTGTAGGCCCCCAGGTCCTGTGAAGCTGTTTGCTCAGCTTTTTGCCTGGGGGACCCCCAACTAATCTGTTGGAAATAAAGTGGATTTTGGAAAATATGCGAAGAAACTAGACAGCAGTGTCCAATGTAAAATGAGACACTAAAATAAACGCACGAAAGGGACTATGTTGACCCTGTCATTTTGTGTGGCAGGCATGTAACTGTACATCAATTTTGCACGTAACACAGTGACAGACACAACAGCTAAACAATATCTCTGGCTAAACATTGGGGTTACACACAGGCGCAGCAGGGTAATATTATACCAATCTAGCCACCCTGCTTTTATTTTCAGATTTTTTTAAAAGCCTGCTATCTTTTTTGTGTCCTGTACTTTCAGGTTGCTCTTGGGAAATGCAAATTGAAAAAATATTATCACTGAGAAAGCAGTAATTTCATGCAGTTGCAGAAAATAACCCAATTACATAGCATCATGCTTTACTGATCAGTTGAGAGAAAGGTCTGATGGCACCCAATACAGTTTAGATAAATAAAACCTTCTTCCAAATAGCTACAAATATTTTAACCTCATGTAATTAATTTAATTACTAGAAAAAATGTAAATAAGTTTATTTTTGAACTTTGAGCGTGTTTTCTTAGCAGTGATGCCATAAAAATTCCCAAATGGAAGTACCTGAATGACGTTAGAGGTTTTCAGGTTGTGTGTATACTTCTTAATTTGGCCATGGTGTTAGAATACTAGACTGCATTTACCACATCACCAGAATGCATCACCATAGCATACTTGAAGCTTTCCATATGTAAACGTTTACATAAGTACAAAAAACCTACTAAATGAGGACTACAACCCGATTCAGTAGAAATGAGATTGAATTACCCATGAGCCGAAATCGCAATGGAGGTTTAAAACTGAGCTGGCACTGGCCATACGACATTCTGATTTACGCAAAGGGCTGTAGGAATGCTGGGTTACCGACGTACTGTGATCCACTGTGCAGCCACAATTTACAGAACCCTTGTTTTCCCCTAGTTTGTTGAGGAAAAGCAAAACTAAAAATGCAAGCCATTAGGAATTTTATGCCACGGCAAAGAATCTAACAAAGAAGTAGAATGCACCATGTTTCTACAATGAAAATATTGTGCCTGCCTAATTTCTCTCGGCCCCTCCAGTTAACATCACCTACCTGGCTTTTTATGTTTATGACTGCCATAACCCTAACTCAAGCAATGTGGTCACACATTCTTGCAATTCGTGCTTGCTCTTAGGCTTGTACTGACTAGACAACTAAAACCTACGTAAAGCGGTCCTTGCATGTAGCCACAAGCGACATAAATAAAGCACGGCTCAAAATGTTCAACTAAATGCTTCACAAAGGGCAGCTCTAAACATAAGGCATATACAGCAAGCAGTTTACGTTCAGTGAAAACGTGCACGCACAGATTCCACTTCGTATTCCGGTAACATAGTAATGTGAAAAGTGCACGGACAGACTAAAAATCTCTATTGACAGTAGCAACAAGAAAGTGCAAGTAAAATGCATGTTGTCGTCACCTCAAACGAGCGGTCGTGCTTGACGGCCCAGATGCACACAGCGATAGAGAGGACAGAGATGAAGATGAGCGGTATAAAGACAAGTGTCCAGAGGTGTCTGTCATTCTGCAGGTTGTCACAGGCCAGCACCTCAAAGACGAGAAGCAGACACTGAAGGAACAGGCTGATGACCATGGCCTGGTAGTGGACCCGACCATCCCCTTCATTCCTACATTGAAATGAATTTTAATGCCTCAATAACAAAGAAATATTAATTAACAAGCTAATGTGAAGAGGCCAGACACAATATTGCTCAGACTTTGCAGGCCCTGTGTACTAGTGGATTGTCATAACCTATTCACCAAAACAACAGTGTTGTAATTATTCCTGCAACACACAATTTTTTTTTATAACTGTTTCAGCCATCACTTAACGGCAATGCCCATATCCTACAGTCATCCAGTTTAGAGAATTATGTGACATGCAAAAACATATGCACATTCTCCATAGGGGTGTGCAACCAAACTGTGTGCGATTTGCCACATAGATCCTTCTGTAGAGATACTGGGATTACATTTAGATAATAGCAACGTCCAATCTGCTACGTGTTTTCTGAATAAACCTTCAGTTGGTAGTTCAGCACTGGTGCTGAGTGTCTGTGTTTTTCTCTAGTGTTGAGCCGGTAGCTTTTGTGGTGGCTAACTTTGCAACATGCACACTGAACATAAAGAAAACAAATATGCAAGGCAAACATGTCATGGCATCTATATGCGCCTAATGTTTTCCGCCACAAGTTAAGTATGGATAAAGCTGGCCAGGACGACACGGTCGCACCTCCTTCTCCTACTAAACTCGACTTCATAACGTTTCACGACGAGACGAATGTGTGCTTCAGTACCTGTATTGTGGGTGCGTCCACCACACATAGCTGCCCACAACGGCTCCAACGATGACCATAAACTTCCAGATCCAAAGGGGAAGGAATACGACCCAGTAGTTCCATGAGATGACGCCATCGAGCCTCAGCGAGAAGAGTAGCGTGAACGCTAATAGGCAGCAGTGAACTAGAAAACGACTGCAAAGACATCGAGCAACAACCCTTGTCAGTTTAAGACAGCTTCTCAAGAGCTAGAAATTTAGCACCTACGGCATGCGGACGTCTAGTATGGGTGCGGATTTTTCACCCACTTAGTTGGACAAGCGATTAAGAACGCTAGAAGCTTGCGCGGTGTACAGTGTAGGATAGTCACCTAGGATTGAAGTCTTCAAAGAGACTTTGAAGGTTCATAACATCAGGCTGGAGGCACGAAGAGCCAACTTGAACGCCATGCGGTGAGGTGGCGATAACACGAAGAAATCACTTGTCTGTTGCACTTCCTACATCCAGAGATCACTTATCACACAATGCAGGCCCACACACGTCGCCAAGCGATACGCGCTTCTAGTTTTTCGGTCATGGTCAACGTTGAAGAACATCGTACCGCCAGGCTGTGTGATCGGTTTATTTGCGCGTCACTCCTTTGACAGTGCTTTTAAATAATACGCATCATTCGATCTCCTTTCGCCTGCTCGCTTGTGGTTCCGAGCAAACAAACGGGGGGAAAATAATGCTCCGCTTGAAACGAAAACGACTTTGGATGGCTCATCAACTACTCTCCACAGCAGGAGCTACAGCGCCGGAAGTACTTTTTTTATAGTCTTCTCTTGGGTTTTTTTTTTTTTTTTGGACTTGCTTGGAAACACATTTCAAGATAGAGTTTCTCACAAAAGTATTTTTGTGAGAAGGCGTCGCCCATATGAAACTCTATGCGTTACCCTAACTCTAGTGCTGCATAACGCAGTTATTAGTTGATCTACTCCGGGCACACAATTTCACGCAAAATTTGAAGCCAAAAATCCGTGGCACGCTGGATGGATGAATGAATTGATGTGACTGTACCCTTTACATCGGGTAAAGCCAACACCTCCTATAAAGCCCGTTGATCTAAGATCAAGGGGCTTTATAATTGGGCGTGGCTACCGCCACCTAGCTGTATTACTTAGTAAACAAAAACCAGATGTATCTTTTTTTTTAATAGTGAAGTTAAGGACTGGTACTTTGCAGCTGCAATCCTTCAATTGAAGGATTTAATTTTCACTCGCTCCTTGATTATCACCACCAATCAGATAAACTCCTTCTAGTAGTTCTACCCGCTTAAAGTCAATTTCGCCCTCCCTGTCCCTAAACCACAGTGATTTAAAAAACTCTGCGCCATTATCCTGAACTATAGGGTGAAGCCCTCTACAGGACATTATCAAGTGTTCCGCAGTTTTCTCCTCCTCTCCACACGCACTGCATACCGTGTCTACCCCTTCGTATTTGGCCCGATACGTCTCGGTTCGCTATACTCCAGTCCTGACCTCAAACAGTAGAGAACTACCCCGAGTATTATCATAGATCCTTTTCTTGGTGATTTCCTGCTGAAACGTTTGATAGATCTCTAGTGCGGACTTCTTAATCATGCAAATTCTCCACACATCGGCCTCTGTTTTCTTCATCTTCTTAACTGATACAGTTCTTTTTGGTTTCGCCCCCTGCTGTTTTCTAAGATTTACCCGTCAATTTTCTAATTCGCTTCCTCCATTTTGTATTGACATTCTTCATGTACAAGTATCTTAAAACCTTCCCAGCCCAACGCTCCTCCCCTTTTCTCTCAATCGCTTCTCAAACTTTGTCTTGCTGCTATTAGCTTCCCTACCCTTAAGTGATGTCCATCCCATATCTTGTACTCCCTGATTTGGTGTATTCCTGTGAGCTCCTAAAGCAAGCCTACTTATTCCTCGTTGCTTAATTCCTAATCTTGCTTGAACCTATGATCTCATGCACAAGACCGCATTGCCGAAAGTCAGACCAGGAACCATGACACTTTTCCAAATTGATCTCACAACATCATACCTATTGTAATTCCACGTACAGTGCCCTATTTTCCCCCACCGCTGCATTCCTGTTTCCTTTAGTCGTTACGTATATTTCATGTTCCCTTAATACTAGGTCCCATTGCTTATACACCCAGATATTTGTATTTATTCGTTATCTCTAGCGTGACCTCCTGTATCATAAGCTCACTACCTTCATTATCATTAAAAATCATGACTACTGATTTTTTTCTTACTGAATCTCAAATCTAACTTATCTCTCTCGTTACCGATGTCCACCAATCACTGCAAATCTTCTTTGTTGTCGGCCATTAGCGCTATATATCATCTGCGTATGCTGGTAGTGCCTGTTCAGTGAGTTTTCCTTGTTTGACGGAGGAGAGGTTGAAGCCAAGTCCACTCCCCTCTAATTTGATTGATTGATATGTGGGGTTTAACGTCCCAAAGCCACCATATGATTACGAGAGACGCCGTAGTTGAGGGCTCCGGAAATTTTGGCCACTTGGGGTTCTTTAACGTGCACCCAAATCTGAGCACTCGGGCCTACAACATTTCCGCCTCCATGAGAAATGCCTCTAATTTGGCCTCCAATCTTTGTAGGTACGTCATGAATAACAAGGGTGACAGAGGAGACCCCTGCCTAATCCCCCGTTTCATCTCTAGCTGTAAGCTATATATATATATATATATATATATATATATATATATATATATATATATATATATATATATATATGTGTGTGTGTGTGTGTGTGTGTGGTGTGTGTGTGTGTGTGTGTGTGTGTGTAACTACTTTGTAATTTTATAGATATCCTTGAAGAGCCTAATGACTCCATCCTCTACACCTAGTGTGTCCAGTATTCCCTACAATACCTCTTGAACCACGCTATCGTACGCTCCCTTGATATCCAAAAAATGTTAGCCACAGAAGCCTGTGTTCCTTTTCTGAAATTTCGATGCACCGCGTCACTAAGAACAGATTGTCTTCCAACCTCATTTGTTTTCGAAAGCTATTCTGCAGTTCCCCCAGCACCCCATCATCCTCTATCCATGCCTGCAGCGTTCTAGCCTCTGTACTGCAGCCTTTCCTTTGTAATCTGCATCATCCTGCATGTAAACCACTGATGTCACTGTTATAGGACGATAGTTGTATATTACGCCATGGTTGATTCTTTGGTCTCCTACAGGTGATCGAGTTTTTGGGGCCTAAGCAAGGGAGTGACATGTTCATAAAACCAATGGGAACAAAAATTGGACGCGATGAAACCGCCCGGTGGATTCTGGCAGCAGTTGTACAAAGATTGAAAAATTACTATTTCATTAACAAGTAAAATTTTTATTATCTTTTGCACTCAAATAACTCTTTAAACAAGTAATAACTAAGTATATTGTTTGTATAATGTATAACTGCGTATAGAACAAAATAGATTTCAAAGCATCAAGGTGTTTTCATATGGCGGCTGGCCATTCGCATAGCAGACGACACCGCCGTCGTCTGCTTCTGCGTCTGCCCCCGCTCGTTGGAGCAGATCCCTCTCTCAATTTCGCTCCTTTCCATATAGTGTAATGCAGTGAACTATTACTATAAACTCACAAGCATCGTGTATTCTTACTTTAGTAAGTGAGTGATGCCTGTGGCACGGCCTCTCAGAGGTACGTCTGACGATGGTACGTCAGAGGTACCTCTGACGAAGGCCGTGCCACGGCCGAAACGTTAGTAAATACGACCCTTTTCTTATGTGCTATCTTCAAGTTATTTCAATATATATATATATATATATATATATATATATATAATATGATATCTAATATTAAAACGAGGCCCTATATATATATATATATATATATATATATATATATATATCTATATATATATATAATATATATATATATATATATATATCTATATATCTATATATATATATATATATATATATATATATCTATATATATATATATATATATATATATATATATATATATATCTATATATATATATATATATAAACGAGCCCTCGAGCCCTTAGGTATGCACTTCTTTCCCTTATTTCATTGAACGATGGTTTCGTTATGGCCAGACATGCTGTGTTTAGGTTGTATAAGAGGGACAATTAATCAGCTGCCCGCTCATAATAAGCTCACGTGCTACGTGACGCCAAACATGCGAATAAGAGTGTTTTCACACTCGTCGTTTGGCTTATAGATGGCGCTGACTGTCACTCTTACTTCTAAAATCACATATAAACTCAGAAAAGTGGGTAGAGGGAAGGCCGCTGTGGTAGCTCAGTGGTTTTTTCAATTTCTTCACTGAGCTGCTTATTGACTATCAACTGCGTATACTAAGTTCTATCAGACAGGGATGCCCGGCCTCAGCATTGTTATTCGCCATCTACCTAGAACCCTTTTGCTTATCAATCATTCAAAACTCAAGTGTGCAAGGCTTTCAGTTACAGAACACGGAGATAAAATTACTCGCATATGCTGACGATGTGGCAGTACTCTGCCAAGATAGACAAAGTATATGTGAAGTCGTTTACATGGCAAATAAATGTTGTGACATGACGGGCAGTGTAATTAACTGGCATAAAACAACTGCCTTTTGGTACGGCAACTGGGATGTGAGGCCTGAGGTATACCTTAACGTAAAATGGGAAAGCAAACCCCTAAAGTACCTCGGTGTACCCTTAGACAGCTATCGCGACAACGCGGATTACTGGAAAGGTGAAGCAGAAACCCTCAGGCAAAAAACAAATGCCTGGGGTGGTCGGGATCTGTCTATATTCGCACGTGCAACTGTGTGCAACATGTTTTTGATATCAAAAATCTGGTATGTCATGCAAGTTATCTGTATGTCACGCGTCAATGTACACAAGTTTCACAGGATTTTTTCTGTGCTTGTGTGGAAATCACCGTGGGAACGTACAAGCCGGTCTAATTTATTCCAGTCCGTTAGTAATGGCGGACTCGGTTTATGTCATTTATTTATTAGACAAGTTGTCTCTCGGTTTATTTTTCTTCGCGATCAAAGAAACAAATTTCTGCAAACAGTGATAAAAGTAAGGCTGTCATCACGCATCCCAGATTTTGTTGTGTCTACAAACAGTGGTATGTGCCGATATGTGTCTGGTTTTTTGAGAGAAGTTATACAGTCTTTTGAGTTTTTGAAAGTGCGCTTTTCGCTGGAATATCTTGCCACTGTTAAGCGAAAAAATCTGTACAGGGATCTTCGTGATGTCTTGTTACCAACACCTTTGTACAGATCTATGTTCAATGGAGGACCCGGACAGGATGTTTTGAAAAGGGTCAAAAAGATGAAAGTAAAAGCAGGGGCAAAAACTTTCTTTTTTAAATTGCATTCCGGGACTCTCCCCGTAAAGCAGTGGCTAGCGGACAAGGGAATCGATGTACCATAGACAACCAATTGTTTACTTTGTAAAACACCTGAGACAATAGACCATGTGTTTATTCATTGCTGGGATGCTGTCTTTCATTGGGACATCCTTCAAAGAACATTGAAAAAAGATCTCCCCTTTACAAGCCATGGCATTCGTTTTCTCTGTGCGGATGAGGACGACGGCATACCATACGACATGGTTATGTTAATTAGCCTTCACAGCATCGGGCAGACCACTATGGCTTACAGACATCTTGACCAGAACATACGTCCTGTCCGGGAGAACTTCATTGCAAATATGCGGTATATCACTGAGGTGTATAAACAA